AACAAAGTAGTTTTAACTGGAACTAGTATATTTTGGAACTTAGGACACTGAAAGCAGGTCAGTAGTTTTTTGAAATGCAGAACAAATTCACATTGAAGTCTTTTTTTTTTTTTGGTACAAATACACTGTTTCTTATACAGCCTCTTCAGTTACTAGAGAAGGTTGCTATATGTGTGCACAGTGCTATTTGGAAAGAAATAGCTTCATATGTACATGGTCTCTGGTCTCTGTCCTTACTAGTCATGGGTTATTGAACATTTAACTAGTGGGATTTTAGAGGGCTCACCAGTGGACTTCTCCAATCTGCTTCCAAACAAGTAGGCCTGGAGGAGGCTGATTAAACATCAGTTCAATAAACAATGCCAATGTACAAAGTCATTTAACACTGTGACAAATTAGAATTAATAAGTAAATTCAGCCAATTATGTTGGTGTAAGCTCATGATCCCAGTGCTGGAGAAGCCAGGTGGGATCATTTGTTCAAAGTAAAGACCCTTTCTCAGAGATAAACAAGGAAGTGAAATTACCAAGGTTACAGGATAACCAGGACTGCTATACAAATGTCAATAGTATATTTGTATACTAAGGCCAAACAGAATTTTAAAAATTAAAAGTGTACCAATTAGAGTGGAACCAGAAAGCCAAATACTTGGGACCTGCACCATCAAAGGGATCAAACATTGGTGGCATACATGAAGGAAGTCCTACATAAACACATGTCTTATGAAAATGTCCTGTGTTGATATCTTATAGCAGTTACATAGATATGTACATACGTGAAAATTCATTTACCTGCATAATAAAGATTTCAGCATTTTACTGTGGGTGTGTCCATTCCCAAGGAGAAACTTTTGAGTTGTGTTTTATTTGAGTTAGGGTTTCATGATGTAACTCAGTCTGGCCTGGAATTTGCTATGTAGCGCACCTGAGCCTTGAACATTAATTATATAACCCTGAAACAGCCTCTGAAGCTCTAGGATTATAGATGTGAGCTACTATGCATAGCTAAAAGTTTTGAAAAGTAAAGAAAAACTGACACACACACACACAAAATAGAAGTAGATGTGGGCCTGTGTTAGTTACACACCTACTCACAAATAACTTTTAAAGATTGACCCTAGATGTCATTTTAAGCATTGACCCCAGAACTGGAGAGTCTATCCTGTCCAATCTCCAGTGCAACTTAAAAAGAAACACGGACCACAGTTTTACAGTCTCTATTGGCCATAGAAACAACCAGTAAGTTTACGTGAAATGTCTGCCTCCAACCTAAGAGAAACATCAGGCCTCTTTCTTATTCTGCCCACAAGCACGAGAGGTGAAAGGTGAAAGGTGAAAGAGCAAACGTCTTTGGGAAAGTGTACACGGTGAAGGAAGGCAACTCTTCCTGGCACAGTTTGACTTCCCTGAGTTTCCGTCTTCTCCTGCAAGAGGTGACAAAGATAATGCAGGTGAAATTCTCCACCAGTCACAAGGACCAGTAATTTGAGTTGAGGAGCAGCGTGGAGAAGTTAAGGGGGACAGAACTTCACCAGGATAATCTAACCCATGTGTGCTATTTTAAGGTTAGGAAACTGAGGCAAAGTCCCATGGCTTATGGGAAGTGTGTTGATTATGGGCAATGGGAGGGCTGCCTCTAGATCCAGCTGCACAGGTGCCTAGTCTGGACTTCCTTTCATTATACCGGTGTGCTGGATATCCCACCTGAACATCAATGATGAAACTGCTGGTTCTTTGTCCAAGCACCAGAGTGCCCTGATTTCAGAACATTCAATGCAGAATCCCAAGCCCACGGAGGCCTGTTTGCCACTGACTCCAGGAGCAGTTTATACTGTTTATTATGCATCTGCAACAAGAACAAGATTACTATTTACAACTGAGGTAGCTATTTTCACAATCCTCCATGAAGTCAGCAGGCAGGTATTCTTTTGAACGTAAATAAACACCGTCAACCTCGATTGTGTGACTCTATTTAGTATATTTTAAAAGGTGATGGTTTAATGACCCCCTAGTAGTCTATAACAATTATTGCACCACAGAAAAAGAAACATGAAATCCCCTTCTCACAAATAACACTGAGACTAGTGTTATGAAAAGGCAGTAAATCCCAGGGAATGGAAATACTTTACCTTCCCACCAAATGACAATGTTGTTAGTTTTCAATTCATAATTTGCTGTTTCTGAAAATATATGATCTTTGGGGGACATGGAAAACAAAGAAATAAACACACACTGTATAGAATTCATAGTTACTTAGACAAGTAAGTAGATATATGAGAGAAAGAGATACACATGATACATCTCCACAATATGATCTGGGGCAGTTGTGACAAAGCAAATGTTCTTGTACAGCCAACTATTAGCTCATTATAGTGGGGCTAATAAGGTTGAACCTGGGCTGGTATCTGAAGAGAGAGTTCTCATTGTAGCTGCCCTTTTCACATGCAGAGCCAGTGGACTAGGAGGACAGGGAGACTTGAGTGCTGTCAGGTTTATTTGGAAGAACATGAATGTTTTATCTTCTGAACATTGCTTAGAAACAGTGTCAAGGATTCTAGGTCTCTCTATGACAAATATGGCATACTGGGTTTCTCTGTCATAGAATGCTGCTGGTGGATTGAATACCAGGACTTCCCCTTGTAGGGCATCTGTGAACAATTGGATTAATTCAAGGGAGACACACTAAACAGGGCTTACAAAGATTTTGGTGCACAGCTCAATTCCCTGCTTCTGCCTCCTGTGCAAAACTCCTGTATCTGCCCCATGTAGCTACTGAGCATAACTGAAAGAGGAAAGGCATTTGGAGCCATATCATACCCTGCTCTTTCCTCACCTATAAAGTGGGAAGGTTAATGTCTGTCTGGAAGAGCTCATTTACTGAGTTACAACATACACTCAAAATTGTATTATTATGTACTTGTCATTAAAATTAAATAAATATAAAATTGATTAAAATTAAAGTATTCTGACTGTATGATATACTTACATGTGTTTATATTTACCTATGTATATACATAAAGTCTACCCATACTATGATTGTTAAGTAGGTACAGTTGGAGGTCATAGCCTCGGGAATATGTATCACTTTCCCCAGCTTGCCTTCTTAGCACTTGCATTCTGGAAAAATTATGATTCCCACTCACTTTCATCCTGAAAAGAAATGACCCATTTTGGATAAGTTATATGATCGCCCTAAATAAGGATCAAAAGGACATCCAAGAATAGGTTCTGCCTTGGTGCTGATGAATGAAGTACCACTAGACAACCACTGGGTTAAGACTGGTTTTACTGGTGATACCAACAGACCTCAGTCACCTTATTTCAAAGACTTGGCAACTTTTGCAAGGGGCATTTGCACTTTCTTCCTAGTCCAACGTTGTGAGCTCATTCTTTGTGTTTGATTTTCCAGTGCCCTCTTGACCTGTCGTACTTTTACTTTCCTCTTGGAACATTTTCTTTCCATCTGACAAGTAGTACTTAAGCAGATTCCACCCCTAACATGGACTGGTCAAGCATTTGGAAGATGGATTTTGAGTTGATTCCATAATCTGCACCTCACTCTTGGGGTTGATACACAAGTATCTGTCTCAATTTTCAACTTCGTCTAAATAGACCATTCTTTAAATAGAACTCTAGGAATTTCTATTTTTATTCCAATTTCAACATCAAAGTCAAAGTTCCTTACTGTTCCTTCTAGAGACTCTAATCTGGATTTTGTAAATCCCCTCAGCTAGCTCTTAGAGTGAATCTAAGAACCAAGTTGAGAGTCCCTAAAGTATGCTGGTGATGTATTCAAAGTCGATTTTGTTTTCCAAAAGTGTTACTTTTATTTCACAAAGCCCAAATCGTCTCTAAATTTCTCATGCATATCCATGTCCTAAAGCAGAGATTTCCATTATGGAGGTCAGATCTAATGCTACAGTTGCTATGAAACTAGCCGGAAGTTGGAGAAGTTTTACTCAACCTCTAACAGGAGTAGAAAGGAATACAGGGCTTTCAAAATTCGCAAGTAACAAAGCTTGTGATTCACACGTAAACAGGGATAAATTTGTTGTAGAATATGACTTTTCCATCACAAAATAATTCCAAGTGTCTGCTGATTCACAAGTGCATTTCAAACATCATTCTTCTAATCCTGGCTTTTTATGTTGCTAGAGATGACAATATAAGGAGAGTCACAAAAGCAAACCATCAGAGACTTGACTTTGTACAAGTGGAATTACCATGAATTATAGATCATCATAACAGATGCAAAAATCATTTCCCTGTACCATGAGTTGAGGAGGTTTGCATATAAGTACCTGCAAAACTCCTTGATGGATGATTTACTTATATGAAAATTCTTTATTTTCACCTCAATGCTGTTTGCACCATAACTCATAAAATATTTACTGAATAAAGAAGGGAAAGGGGAAAATACAATGTTATCAGACAGAATATAGTACAGTTGGTCAAAAGTACAAAGTGGGCTTTGCTTTTTACCAACATCATGATCCCTTTCAGTGTTTGTAGCCCTGATTTGTGCTGAGTATTGGGTGGTTAGCCCCCATTTGCACTGAACACTGATTGTGTAGCCCTTATTTGTACTGAGTATTGGGTGGTTACCTCCGATTTGCACTTAACACTGATTGTGTAGCCATGATTTGTGCTGAGTATTGGGTGGTTAGCCCCCATTTGCACTGAACACTGATTGTGTAGCCATGATTTGTACTGAGTATTGGGTGGTTAGCTCCGATTTGCACTTAACACTGATTGTGTAGCCATGATTTGTGCTGAGTATTGGGTGGTTAGCCCCCATTTGCACTGAACACTGAGTGTGTAGCCATGATTTGTACTGAGTATTGGGTGGTTAGCTCCGATTTGCACTGAACACTGAGTGTGTAGCCATGATTTGTGCTGAGTATTGGGTGGTTAGCCCCCATTTGCACTGAACACTGAGTGTGTAGGCCTGGCTTGATGCGTGCTTGTGACCTTGGCAGTGATCTGTTTCTATTGTTACAGGCAATGAAAGCTTAGAAGAAAACTATGTTCAGGACAGTAAAATGGGGTTTGTCATCAACGCCATCTACGCCATGGCCCATGGGCTGCAGAACATGCACCACGCTCTGTGTCCTGGCCATGTGGGCCTGTGTGATGCCATGAAACCCATTGATGGCAGGAAGCTCCTGGATTTCCTCATCAAATCCTCCTTTGTGGGCGTGTCTGGAGAGGAGGTGTGGTTCGATGAAAAGGGAGATGCTCCTGGAAGGTAAAGAATCTATATCCTCGTGACCCCTGAGCCAGATCCTGACAACTAAGGTCCCATGGTTTGGGAATGCTGAAGATAAACTCACCTAGACAGATAAAAATATAGATGAGACTAAGACCACACTGTTTTTGAAAGAGTCAAATACGTCATGTTTAACTCTAAGAACCCTACACCCTGCTAGCTACCCTCACACCAAGATATTACCTAGCTTTTCCCTCAGGATTCCTGAGACCTCCTAAAACGCACACACACACACACACACACACACACACACACACACATATATATAATACATATATATATATATATATATATATATAATTTTCCTTTGAGTCATTTTACACACAGTCTGTTCTTCAACATTTGTTTTGATGCCATCAGTGAGCTCATACATAGCTGGTACATAGTGAATGTGTTCTGTGTCAATATTAACTGTATTAATTCATGCGCATTTTCATAGGAAAGAGATAATAAGAATGACAGAGGAATTGAAATCTATAGCAGGAAGGCAAGAGGCCATGAGCCTCTAAATGATGCAGTGTGCCCATCATAGAGGCCCTGCTATCTTCCAGAGTGTGGTTTTATAGACTTAGAGATTCTTGGGGAAACATGTTTTATGCTAACTTGAAACATCAAATTATTTAAGTCTTACAACTCTTGGTGCATTAGTTTCCTTTCTGAACGATAATGAGTGTCAAAGTAAGCCTATCACTAAAAGTCACACACAGAGCGAGTGGTGGTGGAGGCAGTGTGATCTGACCCTGGGGTTTGTAATCGCCTTGTCACACCATGCTGCTTTTTATCTAATCCTAAAATGAGGAAAAATTGCTGGAAGCATCCTTTGTGTCACAATGGAAGTACTGTGAGAGAATGTTCATGGAGGAGTCAAGTTCTACCTGTGGGGAATCCTCTGTGTGGGTTAAGTGAAATCTCCCATAAAAATCCAACAGCTCAATACAGGATAAAATGATATGTCTTTGTCAACATTAAAACCATGTGCTGCAGGATTCCTTCCAAGATGCCAGTTAGGTGGGGGCAGTTGTTGATTGGAATGTGAGTAGAATGGATTCTCCAGGGCCTGGAAATGTGGGGCTCTAAGCACCTTAAGACACAGTATCAGGAGGAACAAAAGGTTTGAGATTCAGGAGAATCCCCACTATTATATAACCCCACTATTATATAACTCCACTATTATAATCCTGAATCCATTGAAAATGAGGCTTAGTAGAGGGTCAGACTTGTACTGTAAAGCCTCCTCCATGATCCCAAACAGCATTAGTAATAATAATAATAATGATAATAATAATAATAATAGTAATGACAGCAAGAGCAGAACTTCAAATCACACATGGAATTTACTTAGTGTTTAATTAGCACGGGGCTGGAGAATTTTCACACTCAGTAAATGCATTTTTCTCTTTTATCATTTATAAGGCATCCCGATCATAAGAAAGCAACTCAGCTTCTATGTCTTCCATCTTTAATTACACGTTAAACTTGCGAGTCTTCCCGGGATCCCTTTTCAGGGATTCTTTCCTCCTGCATGAGACTGGTCAATGTAATGGATTCAGTCCTCTCATCACCTCCCTGGGCATCTAGCTCCTGTCATAGGATCTCAGGTTCTTGGTCCGTCTGGTAATTACTTCAGTTAATCATCACACAACAGAAACTGAGTGCACTGAGGAGGATCCATGTGGATGTGATTTACATTCACATAAGAGTATTTCAAATAAAGGGAAAGCACATACCGGGAAGGAACCCTGGGGTTGAAACGGGGTGGAGGGGCTGTGTTTATTATTTGCATGCCAGTACTGGAAGATCTTTTCTTCCACAAGCCTGCATCCCTCCCTTAATAGCTAGTAGTTTTGTTGTTGTTGTTTCTCTTCCAGCGTTTGGAACTTTTTTTAAAAAGTGTTTTCATAATAAAATATTGTGAAATTTTCGGCTTCCAAATGCTAATGAAGTGTGAAATGATTTTCTTTATGAAAGAACGAATGAGGAGGTGCTAATAAGAGTCTCAGGAAGTGATTTACAGGGGGAAGATGGTTTACATTGGCAGCTTGCAATGCCATCATTAAGCTTGTGAGGAAGTGTCACATCCTAATATGGAGTAAAGTGCAGAAATTAATGGAAAAATAGAAAGACCCTATTGGACAGTCACAACAGGTTCATTGCATGTGTTCAAAATGTAGAGGAATTGGAGGTGTAGATTTTTCATTGACCCCTAGACGACTGTGGGCCACAAGCTCACAATTAATAGCCTCTTAACCCCCACACAGAGCTACTTTGAAATATTCTGGTAAGCCTCAGCAACAAGGGGGTCATAAGTATTAGCCAAAAGCCAGAGCAGCAAAAGATAAATAATGAGCTCCAGGCACACTCTGTAAGTTGTCCCCAGTGGGCAAGGGGAAAGTTCCATTACTGTTGCTTTTCTTTCAGGAAGCTGCTATTTGTAGAAACTGTTAGAATTTGAATGTGGAGAAGCCTTGAGTTACCCTGTGGGAGGCAGCACACATTTGCACATTAAGAACAAGCAAAACAAAGCCAGTAAATGGATAGTTAACCTCTAGATAAGGAGGTGGGGCCAGGTCCAACTGTCTATCAGGTACAGCTAATAGACAGCAGTTGTCCAGAGTACTGAGAATGAGACTGAACCTGGCAATTCTGGAATGAATGAAGCAGGGGTAAGGAGATCCGGTGGGATAGAACTCTGCTCAGGAAGAGGTATATGCTCTGGTTCATGGCCCTCTAGTTCTTTGGCTAAGCATAAGGAGAGGGAGCCATGATGACTCATGATCTAGTACAGGAGGTTAAGGACTGTGCAAAGCTCAGCAGACAACAGTCCCTCTGCAGATCAAGGAAGAAGCCAAGCATAGAGTTTAGGTAAATTACTGTATGTTATAGTTGGGGGGATCGGGAACCACTAGAGGACTGTCATAAATAAGTGACTATGCCAACAGCAATGTCTTCCCAAGTTTTTTTTTTGTGGTTGTTGTTTTTTTATGTAGTAGAATTAGCCAGCATATTAACAAGTTCGTAGAAATAGAACCATGATCTTAAACAATGATTCAAATGCACTCCGAGTCTTACCTTTGGGGATGTATAAGATACCATCTGCCCTGTGGTTTATTAATAGTAGACATTTGGTGAACCCAACCAAGAAGACAGGAAACCTAAGATTAAGGAGTCTGACAAGGGCCTGCTTACTGACTCATGCATGGTCCCTTCTAATGGTGGCATATGTACTAGAAAAGCATGAGAGCTTTCTCAAGCTGTTTTTGCAGAGGCAAGAATCTTGACCCTGAGGGCTCCCTCCTCATGACCCTGTCACTGTCCAATCACTTTGGAGTAAGGGTCTTAGCACATGAATTTGGGGAAGATGTAGACATTCATATATAAGACCTATGCATGTTCCCGAAATACAAAGTAACTTCTGACGTGTCTTAGGTCCCTAAATCCATATAAGTACCCTAAGAAAGTTACAAAGATTCGTGGCAGTTCTGAGTAGTACAGCTTACTATTAAAATGTGAGACAAAGCTCCAGAGCACACATCTTGATGACAAGTCCTCTGCTTTAGCCATCGTATGGCTCCCAGAAGATATTTTGGTTGTAGTAAACATTTCTTAGGGGAAAAAAGAAAACAGAAAAAAGAAAGGTACATGTTGCCACCCTTACTACAGGACGATTTCAGGTTTTTTGTGCAGCATTGGAAGCTACTGACATAGATGACACCAATTGTTCAGTTCCACAAATGTTTGTCTCAATCAGGAAGAGATCCCTTTGAAAGTCAATGTACAGAATAATAAATTGGCTGGCAAGATGGCTCTATGGGTAAGAGTGCTTGCTTGATAAACAAGAAGACCTGTGTTCAAATCTCTAGCATGTTTATAAAACACCAGGAACAGTTACTCATATTATAGCCCCAACATGGGGGGTTAGAAACAGGAAGATCCAGGAGCTCACTGGCTGACCAATGTAGCTAAATTGATGAGCTTCTGGCTCAATGAGAGACCCTAGTACCAGGCAGCAAGATAGAGATTGAAAGAAGATGGCAAATGTCATATTCAAGACTCCACAAGTAAACATGGACATCACCCATGCATTCACGTGTGTGCACCACACACATATGGAGCAAACACAACATATAATATGCACACATATCATATAACACACATTAAATCCTCAACCTCTTTACTAACTAAAGATGCCCTTTTCAGGTTCCTTGTTTTATTTGTACTCAGTAATTCTAAGCCTTATAATACCTCCACTTCCCACTTAAAAGTTTATTGTAATGAAAATTGCAACTGAATATAAAAAGGGTATATGAAATAAAAACAATCAAGCATGGAAATTAATGTACTCATGGATTGTTACTTGTTCAAAGTGTACCACATGGGTTTAAGGAGTTAGTTGATCAACTGACCAACTGAACAAAACATATCATTACTTTTGAAGTATAAACCAAGAAAAAGTTTGAGAATAATATATTCTTTAGCAAAACCTGATGGTATACAGATATTCTCTGAAAAGAGGAAGTATTCAGAATGAACTATAAATGTGACAGTTGCTGGTGCTGGGATGTGTGGTGACCCTAACTTAGATTTCTCTTCTTTCATTAAAACCCACTTATTTAAAAGTCTCCTTTTTTTCTCTATCAGGAAGACTCACATGTGTTTACTTCCTATGCAGGTATGACATCATGAATCTGCAGTACACTGAAGCTAATCGTTATGACTATGTCCACGTGGGAACCTGGCATGAAGGCGTGCTGAACATCGATGATTACAAAATTCAGATGAACAAAAGTGGGATGGTCCGCTCTGTGTGCAGCGAACCTTGCTTAAAGGGTCAGATTAAGGTAAGCCAGGAATGCATCCCTGGACATTATTGGAAAGGATGCTGACCACCTGTGCAGTAGGAAGCAAAGCATATTTTAAAGCAACATGATCCAAAAAGGGAATTACTGTTCATGCCCTTATGTTTAGCTAAAACTGAAAAGAAAGGTTAAGACATAGGTGACTCTTAGGTTAGGAGATAGGATTTTAGATATTTAGATGATATTAGATATTTAGATCTCTAGATATTTGCTTAGGAACTATATGAACTATTGAAATAGTGTTAAGTTTTATTTTAATAGCAATGACAAGCTGGAGACTTACATACAAATGTAGGCAGCAAGGAGATGAATAACAGCATTAAAAATCGAAACAGAAGTAAGTGTGGAAGCCAGTAATGGTGCTTAGTCATAGTGGCAGCTATTACTAAAGAAAGCTCTGGGGATCTAATGCACAGCGTGGCCTGTGATGGATGTGGTAATGAACTTCACTGTGGCAATCATTACACAGTGCATGCATACACCAAACTTCCGTGTGGCACAACTTGGTATAACATTTTGCCAATTATGTTAAAATTAAAAACTTAGACAAAAAGTAAATGTGGGAATCAAAACCAGTAATATCGCTTAGGCACCATTCCAGCTGTTGTTAAAGAAGGCAGAAGCTGTCCAATGACAAACATGTAGCTAAAATGACAATCAGTCATGGGGCTGAGGAACACCAAAACCAAGCAGACACTTTGATTAGCAGTGCCCTTTCCCTACCAAGTACTTTGGTTCTCCTGAACTGGATTATTATTTTTTTAAACAAAGATAGCCTCCAATTTTTGTATTATATCCAGGGACTTTCGGGAGAGAGGAAGTAAGTAGCTCATAATATTACAATGTGCAGAAAACTAGAGAATATAAAAGCAAAATACCAGGTTTCTTGCTGGGTATGCTGGGGAGAAAGGTCAGTGAAGAAGGTTGGGAAACATAGCTTTAGGTCCAGGCTGTTTCCTGTGATGCAGGAAGCAGTAGAGAATAGGGGAGGGGCCGTGAGTTAGCAGGCTCGCGGCTCAGATAAACTAATAGGTCTCTCCCCAGCTCTAATTTGCTATGATTCATCTCAAGAAGCAGACAGGCTGTCACGTAAATGTCGCACGCCACAGCTGGATCCGGAGTCGATCTTGTGTGAAGATCTGGACCCCCCTCCTTATGTCATCATGATGCTGTGCTCTGCCCAGGAGCTTCAGACTCTTCCTCATGCACAGGGAGGTCCAAAGGATGCTGAGGAACACCCAGTATACTTAAGTTTTCTGGGGCCAGAGCCTAACCTAAGTTTTCTTGTGGATGACTGAGAATCTTTATATGAACTACTAGAAAGGTTGAAAGTTTTGGGACCTCTAAGAGCATGAAGCAGCTAGGAAGCCTTGTCAGAAGAGCATGACGCAGCTAAGAAGGCTTGTCAGGGAGGAAAAATTCATGGTAGCTCTAGCCACTTTGAGGAAATAATGAAGTTCTGAGACCAGCTGTAGTTGTAACTGTCTTGGGTGTTCTTAGAAGAAGTAACACTATAATTATACTCTGGCTGCTAATGAACTCTTATTATGGCCACCATGGCCATGGCTAGCCCCTTAGTTGGTGGGTATTATAGTCTGTGTGTGTGCCACAATGGTTTGTGTGTGGCAACGTAATCCTCAGTGTAACCATGTGGAGAGGTGGTTGGACCTATAAGAGGTAGGACCAATGGAAAAGTAATTAATTAAGTCATTGGCAGTATCAATCCCAAACAGATAAATATTTGTCATTTGCCTCATCCAATAAGTTATTATTGCAGTAGTGTGTTTTGAAGTTAGGTCATTCATGTGCTTAGACCCTTCTACATACAGTTTTCCTCTTTGTTGTGAGGTAGCACCAAGAAGCCTTCATAAGCAGTGAAATAGTGCTGTCCAATCTTGGACTTCCAGTCATCAAAACTGCAAACTAAATGATCCTCTCTTGTTCATAAATCTTGTAGCCTCTGGTGTTTTGTTTTAGGAACAGAACATGGACTACAGTGAATCTCATTCATCAAGGAATCTGATCATAGCCTGAATAGTATGAGGCAAAGGAGATAGGGAGACGATGTTAGTTTCCAGGCTATGCAGAGGCATTTCAGTTGTGTAAGAGTGACTCCAGCCTAAACACCATGGATGAGCTAATAGCTCTACTTCTCACTAGACATCCACTTTCTTGTCTAGATGGAACTCTTTCACATGAGGCCATCTGGTGGTACTTAGGAAAATGTCCTCTGAGATCCAAGGCATCAAACTTACCCTTAACTGTTACTATGAGGCGTCAGACCAGTGGATTTTTGTTGTATTGGGATCTTTTGTTTGTTTGAATAGTTGGTTTGTATGTAGAGGAAAAACAAAACATTGGGTGACTCAAGTCATATGTGGGGAGAACAGAAAAGTCCAAGATCAAAGTCTTTTTGACTCTTTTCCAGTTGGATGGTCATTGCTGAACAGCTAATGAAATGATCTTATTTTCCAGGTATAGGGTGAAGGAGAAAACTGGCAGGAAAAACATTTTTCCCATAAGGATTCACCAGATTACAGATCCCCGTAAAACCTCTCCTGTCATTCTGTCTTAGGCAGGCCGTGACTGAGTGCTCACAGAGCATGCTCACACAGTATTCCCATTGACATTCCAGAAGAGAGGCCTTTTTTCTCTCCAAGCTCTATTGCAAGGCTGCCTGCATGCGTTTGTCTGCCTAGATACTGAAGTGTTTCTGGCAGTGTGTCTGTGTTACACCCATATGACGTTCTCACACGAGATCCCAGTAATCATTGCTGAGCCATTGCGGAATACTCACCATAAATGCAAATCTCTCGGGGGCCAATTTTAAAAATATTCTGTACTCTGCAAGAGAAAAACATGTCTGTTCTCAGCAGCACCTGGATTGGGAAGATGCTTGTTTATTTCCCATAAACACCTTGGGAGGTAGAGAAACAAATGAAATCTGAATTCCATTACCAGATAATAGCACTTACAGTCTAATACCACTAATTTGCCACCTACCAGGTTTAGGGGAGCGAGCAAGCTCTCTGTAGCCACTATGAAGAGAGTCAGCCTGATCATAGGACATTAATTTGTATTAACTGGGGAGTGGAGCCTTCACAAACAAACAAATAAACAAACAAAACTTAAACATCAAATACCATAAATGTTAAAGTAATAATTTGATACCTTTTTGAGAATTTATAAAAATTTATTATTTTTATTTCTTTTGAGGCTATTAAAATCCCATTTTCTATTACTTCTTTTTAGACATATGTGACTCATAAAAACAATATCTTTTGGTGCTAAAGCTTTATTGAGAGAGTTAATCCTAGAAAATGTAAATAAAATATATTTTGTTGTTATTTCTTACAGATCTAGTCTGGTCAAAAGACTCTATGCTATACAATTTAATAAAGGGTATTGACTACAGGAAACTGGTTATAAAAAAGTAAAAGGGGACACTGAGGCAAGCCAAAGAAGAGAAACAGTAGGACTGCATTCCCACTCTTAGAATAGAAGGACAATGAAAGAATTCAGAGTCTTGTTCTAAGATACAGTCATGTACAGTGGGGTAGGGAGTGAAAAGATACCCTGTGTTCTGTTTTCTTGCCTTTAGTCCTTTGTCTCACAGGTATCCTTGAACCATAAGAACTATGCTACGTGCAAGCTTTCATTGGCAACTCATTACTGGGCAATTCTACCCAGACAAGTGGGAGCAAAGGAAGACAGGACACAAGACCTGAAGGAACAAAAATGGGTAGGAAGTTAAAAGAAGATTAGAGGAAAGAAGGAGGAAGCGAGGGACTTAAGTGTCACCCAGGAAGACCTTGTTAACATACAATGAATTCTTTACAAGTTACTCCTTCCTCACAGAGACTCTTACACAGAAGGTATTATAGGCGCTCCCTTTACAGGTGATGGAGCGGAGACCATGAGGGCTTCAGTCTCATGCTTCTCCATTCTTGCATCAAGAATGTTACAGTACTGGGCTGAGAGCCAACCCAAAGCTCTTATCATCCCAAGGCCACATGTTGTTCAACTCTGTCGTTATGTGAACTGGCATGTTTCCTGTAAGTGCGGATTTCGATTTCCAAGCACTGGCTTTTCAACAGTTTAAAACATAAATAATGATCCACTTTAAAAATACAAAGAGAAGAGTGTATAGAATTAGGAAGAAAAGCTTAGGGGGAGGGAAGTTAAGTTGAGATGAAGAAAGTGCCAGACAATGAAGGAATCTGTAGAGCTGTTGTTACAAATCTCCTGCATGCTCCTCCCCCCCTCCTCTCTCTCTCTCTCTCTCTCTCTCTCTCTCTCTCTCTCTCTCTCTCTCTCTCTTTCACTCTCTCTCTCTCTCACACACACACACACATACACCTTCTTCATTTAAGTTGGTATATAGATTGTTTTCCCAAGACTCTGAGATTGGGTTGGAGTCTGTGGCAAGAGAGGGGAGTGGTTCCTCTCATCCTCACATATCCTGGTGAACATGGTATTCATTGCAAATATTTTCTCATTATACATGGCCTGTTGTTCTGCGTAAAGCAATGCTGGTTTTATTTTTTGGTTGTTGTTTTTTTTTTAAACCAAATTCTAGCCACACACATAGGCTTCAAAACTGGAATAACTTTTGGCCAATGTATTTACAGTATTTTCTACTAGGGGAGGAGGGAGGAGAGAGGAGAGAGAGAGAGATTTAGGAAAATAGAAATTTGGATCTCAGAGGACTGCTTAATTTTGAACTGATAACCCCTTGCCCAAGTTTAGCTTCTTATATCACTCTTACATTATTATTATTGTTTTGTTAGTTTGTTTGTTTTCGTTTTATGGCTGAGCAAAAAGGGCAGAGACAGATCTGCTGAGTACCAAAGTACAGGGAACATTATAATTTTCAGTGTGATATCAGACGTTTTGATAGATACAGGATGTCTTAAAGAGTCCACTAAGCAACCATTTATATTTGTTCCTAATTGGAACAGGGTATTCCTAGGTGTGTGCCCTGAGCATCTGAGGATACACTGCTACAGGACAGGGATGGTGATCTCTCAGTTTTCCAAACAGTAGCTGTGAGAACATGGAGAAGTTCTCTTTGGAGTAAAGTTGACATTTCTAATAACATCTTTTAAATTACATTGATAATTTCAATTCTTTATATTTATACTACCTTCTTTCAACACAGGATGGTATTAAAATATTCTGTGTTGTTTTAGAGAAGGTGCTGCAAAACTCTGCAGCACAGTAGGGATTTAGGCTCCCAAGTGACTTAAGTGTTCTCTCATCATCCTTTGAATAACTGACCCTTACTAATGCTTTCTTACGCTCTGTTGTTTCCAAGCTAATTTCCTCTCTGCCTATACATTTTCCTGTTTATTTTTTGTTGTTGTTAAGTATTTCTAGGTATTACTAAAGCTTATTCAGTCCAATTTCAGAATTATTCTCTAAAAGATATTGTTTATTTGGGAGATTGGATTCTCATTCTCAAGCAAAATTGTCAAGCAAATAATATGTCTTTACTTTTCCTGGTAAAACTAAAAACATGTCAAGATTAAGAATATATAGATCATGTGGCTCTTCGTGTATATATGTGCCTATCTCTACTATTTGATGCAAATTCTTCCTGCTGATTTATACAGAAAAAATGATGAGAAACAGACTTTATATCAAGTCTGTATTATTTAACAGAAAAGTGGAGACAGGGGTGTGGGAATGTTATAATATTCCTATACTGATTTCTAGCACACTTGGTAGTAGCACACTTAATGTCCCCTGAGACAAAAAAAAACTTCAGTCACATGATAGAATATAAACCTTGTATGATGTGAACTCAGCTGGATAGGACTTTGAAAAGCGTGGCCATCCCATTCATTTTATAATGATGGAAGCATTGTGACATGCCCACAAAATTTTGTGTCACTAATGTTATATCACCATTCCTGTTAAAATCAGCTAGTAGATTAGCTCTTGCAATTTTGAGCCCAAAGCTTTGTTTGAACAACTGAAAACCTGAGAGTTATTAAAAGGATGCAGAAAGTGGGGTTGGTAAATTTCTTTAGTATTATCTCTTGAATTTGCCTAAATAGTAATATTAGTTTTACTGGGAGATGAAAGATTAAAACTGGTTAAACCGATACACAGTATTTTACATCGGCTTTTATTACATGACTTATCTTAATTTAAATAGAAAGTAATATTCATGTATTAATTAAAAATTTACCTTACCATTTAGAAAGAAATGATTGTTTGAAAATATTCTGTCATTTGATCTTTCGCTGCAATTCTAAAATTAGGGTATAAATTTCAACTCTGCCTGAAAATAATTTCAGATTTATGAAGGCTGAGATGTCTATCACTTTAAATTATGGCAATATTTACAGCTTAATTCTGACTTTACATATGGAAATGTTTGATATTTTTAATGTGCTAGCGAAGGACTTCTGCTACTTTATGTGAGGGGATACCAGGGTGCAGGCTGTGCCTTCTGCCATAAACAATGAGTAAACTTGGTGAAATATTTGAAACCACTGTGTACCGACATTGGAAGACAGCACATGACCTTGATGCCAGGGAAGTGAAAAAAATGTGCAAGGAAAACCCTAAAACCACTCAGGCTTCCTGCCTGAAGGCAATCTCCTGATTGTTCAACTACACAGAACACAGAGTTTGGCCATCTTGCTAATTCAAGAAGACAGAATCAGAGTTTGGGAAGGCCAGGAGAGCTGCAATTTGCAGTACAGAGAAAGAAGACGATGGATTTCTGCAGGAAGCAAACAAATAGTCCCAGGAATTAGCACAGGCATTCCCTTGAGTATTTGAACATCAGTCTGCATGTGAGTGGAGTAGAATCTGAAGAATCCGGGCAAAGGGTGAGGCCTGTGTAAGTGACTTCTCAGATCTGACATGGAGCCAACAACTGTCTCAGTTTCTGACAGCCAGATCATACACATTGACTGAATTTATTAATGAGACTTGCTGTATGATAAGTATGCTCAACCTGCAGCCCCTGCGTCACATCTTAAGATAGCTGTTAATGTGCCTGACACGTATGTAGATGAAAGGTAACATCATAGTGTCAATGGGTTGGACATTCCCCATCAAAGGCAAGGCCCAAAGTGGGGGGAGACTTGCCTGCTAGACAAGATTGAAAACTAATGAAAGAGAGAAAGAAGGAATGCAGCACCCTGTGCCTTCACAAGCATCATGCCCAGCATCTGGTTCAGATGTCTTCGACACTGTGAGAAATCTAGAAAATCTAACCCATTATCAGGATGAATATCACATGATACTGTTTCTGACATCTCAGATTAAGAAACCTAGCTCTAGGTCTAGTCACTCATCCACAAAATGAGAAAGTATGCGTTCAACCTATGAGATAGCCAGTCACATTCTTGCTCCATCTCCCCCTCCCCCAGCAATTTGTTGCAATAAATTTAAAGGATGGATACATTCTCCCCCCCCCCGCCCCAGGGAAAAATATATCATCAATTTTTACTTTTAAAGGTAACTAATAAATATTGATATAAATATGGATAATGGTATGTTTTTGTTTTATGTTGTTACAGGGTCTCACTATGTACCTTTTACTGTTCTGGAACTCTGGCTATAGACCAGGCTGGCCTCAGACTCACAGAGATCAGCCTGCCTCTGCCTCTTGAGTGCTGGGATTAAAGGTGTGTGCCACCGTGCCTGCTTTAAATTCTTATTTCTTAAAAAATGCTGCAAAAATAATGTAGTTGATTCATTGTTTTAAAGTGCTACCAAAAGGCTTCCAAACTTAGCCTGGAATGAGTTGACATGCACTCCTGATCTCGAGGATCATAGGGTTTTCAAAACTTCCTTGTGTTTCTTGAGCTGGTAGGAGATTTGTCAAGGTTATTGTGGAGGCAAGTCCCCACCTGAAACAGGAGCTTGTCTGGGGCGCTGACGTCCAAGCATCTTCCCAGGCATCTTCATGTACTGCATAAGCATCTTTTCATATTAATAATTATGCTGTATTTTTCTTCCATGTCTTCCCTAACAGATCTTAAGCAAAATAAAGGCTGCGATTGTAGCTAGGCCTAGGGGTTCACACCTGTAATCTCAGCTTTTTCCACTGCTGGAAGGCTCAATCTGGAGGATAGCCAAGAGAACAATGCACACCTTCCTGTCTTGCAGGTCATCCGGAAGGGAGAAGTGAGCTGCTGCTGGATCTGCACGGCCTGCAAAGAGAACGAGTTTGTGCAAGACGAGTTCACCTGCAGAGCCTGTGACCTGGGGTGGTGGCCCAATGCAGAGCTGACAGGTAGGATCAGCCTCACTTGTAAACTGATGCCTGATTATTGCCCTCCTTTTTCATCCTTCTTCTTTTTATCCTTCTTCTTCTTCTTCTTCTTCTTCTTCTTCTTCTTCTTCTTCTTCTTCTTCTTCTTCTTCTTCTTCTTCTTCTTCTTCTTTTTGTTGGCTTGATTTTTTTCTACACATGGTTTCTCTGTTTAGCTCTGGCTGTCCTGGAACTTGCTCTGTAGACCAGGCTGGACTCAAATTCAGAGGTCCCTCTGCCTCAGCCTCCCCAGTGCTGAAATTAAAAGTGTGCCACCACACCCTCCTGATATTACTCAACAGTTGGCTCCTGTCTTTTCATCACTGCCTTTGGGTACATACTTTGTGCCCCACAGCACATACAAGCCTCTTGAAGTTTTCATGGCCTACACTGAGAACAGAATGCATTTCCATCTGAATACAAGCGAGTTGATATGTGGTAGGATGTTCTGCTACAGAGATATTTTCTTTTCAAAATTTTACTGGAAGGCATTTCAAGCCCACTGAATTTGTATTTGCTACCATTTCTTGAACATCTGTTGTATGTGTGTAAATTACTAATACAATCCCTAAAGATATAAAGGAAAATAAAGCACAAACCTAGCCTTTTGTTTTTGGCATTTGTATGCCTGTGTGTGTCTGTGTGTGAGTGTGTGTGTGTGTGTGTATGTACACCTATATAAGTCTGTGTGTGTGTGTGCTCATGAGCACGTGCGTGTATATGTTATGTGTGTCCATCTTGGCATTGTTCTCTTGGCTCTCCTCCTGATCCAGACTTCCAAATATTGAAATGCTGAGCCTCCAGACCCAGCTACAATTTTAGCTTTTATTTTGTTAAAATCTGTTAGGGAAGACATGGAAGGAAAATATAACAATTAACGTCAAAAGATGCATATGCAATGCATGAAGGTTCTTAGGCAAACAAGGAGATGAAAAGAATGCTAGGGAGTTGAGCAGGGGAGAGTTGAGAGTTAATGACAGACTTGGGGCAAATCCAGAAATAAGTATGTGGGTTCAGTTGATGGACGCCACAAGTATTGAGAAATGAGACTGGGTAGGATTACTGATGGTGGGATACTTACGGTGATTACTAACATTTTTCCCAGCCCTTGTCTGTACTTAGACTTTGGCTTTCAGCACGGGAGAACCACGGGAGAGATTTGAGGTAGAAAATGACCTCATGATACCTCTTTACAGGTAGATGGATCTGATGGCAATGTGAAACACAGACGAGTCTGGAAACAGCCGTGAGGGAGCAGCCACTTAGGTCCCAATGAGGCATTTCGAAGGGTGTGGACTAGAGCAGCTTCAGAGAGAAGGAAGGGTAGCAATTGGATGTAGGAAACTATTTGGGAGTAAAATCAATAGAGCTAGGATGTACTGATCATGTATATATACACAAATGAATGATACATATGTATATGTATCAGTATATATGTTTTATGTATATATAAAAAGCAATGTTCATATATACAAATTTTGATTTTCATAACCCCTGGCATAAGCTCACAGGAGAGAAACATTTCAGAAATACTTCACATAAATTTTAAGTCTGGAGTCATAGGAATCTTGGCCTGTGGATAAACATAGACTTGCTGCACTAAGCCTTCATCTTAGAGGAAGTAGAAGAAACCCATAGACACAAAGTTGTATGCGCAAGGTCCAGGAGCCCCTGATCTCAAGACTCCCTGGATGCCTTTGATATCTTCAGGAAAGGTGATGCTGCTGCTGCAGGTTGATTGTTTCTTGCTTCAATCTAAAGAAAACTGTGAAAGTAAAACACATGATTTTCTCCAAATATAGTTTTAAAAATGGTTAGGTAAGTAGAACTAGGTCACATAGCTAAAATTATACTTAAATGGCACAACCTCGTGAAATGTTAGCCTTGTTAGAGTTAGGTCTAAATAAGTATCAGAAATCATCCAGTATAAAGACCCCATTCAAAGAAAGCAAATTAGATGGGAATGTGGCATTTTTGTTAAATCGGAATATGGTGCTTTTTTGTTGTTTGTTTGTTTCATTTTTGGACAGGGTTTCTTTGTGTAACAATCCTGGATGTCCTGGAACTCACCCTGTAGACCAGGCTGGCCTCAAAATCAGAGATCCACCTGCCTCTGTTTCCTGAGTGCTGGGATTAAAGGTGTGTGCCACCACCACCTGGCTGGAATATGCTATTTTTGAGGGTACTGACTCCATTAACCACACTCCCTCTTTATTCCTTTTTTTAATTCTCTAGCTAAAAGCTAGCTTGAAAGTACTGATATATCTAAAACTTATCCAACACATACCCACCTTCAGACTCCCATCCTTAGCTCTGGAGTTGGACCTAGTATATTAATATATAATAAATGCCCATGATCATGCATGCTATCTTAATTAAATGCAGTATGTCACACACACCACACTACAAAAAAAGAGGCGACTGAGGAAGGAGAAGAGGCTAAGGAAATAAGTGGAAAACTAAGGACATTTTGATCAAAGAGACAGGGAATTATAAAAGAATGTTTTTATAACTTTTTTGTACTTACTTTATGCCATTTATTCTGGCATGTGGTGATATATTATTTATGATTTATTAAAGTTTGCCTGAGGATTCAGAAAGCAAAGTCAGCCTTAAGCTATAGAGATCAGGCAGTGATGATACACACCTTTAATCCCAGCAGCTGGAAGCTAAGAGGTGGTGGTACACAACTTTAGTCCTAGGATGCAGGTTTATGGATCTCTGTGAATCCAACGTCACTCAGATCTACACAAGATTGATCCAGTCCTAAAGAGACACAGCCAACACAAAGATGATCTCAGCACCTGGTATCACACACCTTTAATCCCATCACTAGAGGGTATAAAAGATAGGAGCAGGGTCTTCAGTAGTCAGTATCAGGCATTCATTCTCCAGCCACATTGAGGATAGGAAGACATTCAGTCTCAGGATTCTCCAGCCACACTGAGGAGAGGTTACAGTCTGAGGTTTAGTGGAGCCAGGATCACCCTTTAGTCTGTGGTAGAGAGCTAGTGCCCGGCTGCTTGAAGTTTGAACCTTAGTATCAGTCTCTGGGTCTTTTATTTTTGTGTGTGTGTGTTACACTGGTGCTTGGAGTTTTTGTTTCTGTGGCATCTTCCCAGGTATCTTTTTCTTCTTTGCTGCCTCTGTTTCTGACTTAGGAACAATGTGTTCCTGGTCAGTGAGAATCACCTCCATGTAGTAGGAAAGAGCTCCTGCATGGGTCAATCTACCTACCACATTTTCCTTATGCTCAGCAGAGCATCATATGCACACTCTTCAATGCTTAGAGGACCCACACCCAAACTCCAGCTTGGTATTACTCTCACCATCCTTAAGCACGTGGCGTCTGAATTCAGAATAATTTGGGGCCTGCTGCACCTGTGTCCAGCCCCGCATTTTGGCCTGGGAATACCCACCAATTTCATGTTACACAGATGGAGCAGCACACATTGCTCCTTTAAAGTGGCATCCTTCAAACATTTGCTTTCTTTTGAGATATGCATACCCTTGATGGCCTAGTTTCATAGATGTCCTTGAGGTGAATGTGAATATTTGTTTTGAATGACTTTCTTTTTTTTAGTGCTTTCTGGGTCAAGAGCGCACTGAGCCATTTTTCTAGGTGGCTTACAGAAAGGAAAACAAAATTTAAAGATTACGAGTTAGAGAAAGGATGACTTTTTACTAACTGGTGCTGAAAAGATTGAAAGTCTACTGATTCCATCATTCATTTTGAATAGAAATGACCCAAAGTGGATCAAAGTTCTAAGTGTAAGATATGATACAATGAAACTTCTAGAAGAAAGCACCGGTGAGGAGATACTTCAACACTCTGGTTGGTATAGGCTAAGAACTTCGGGATCATTTCCCCAAAGCACTGACAACAAAAGCAGAAATGGACCAAACAGATAATATCAATTTAAGAAGCTTATGTACATCATTGGAGGCAGTCAGTAAAGGGAAGAAAAAGCCCAAAGGGTGAGGGACTAGTTTCATACTACCCACCTGGAGTGACAGAATGTACAAGCAAATCTTGAGTCTTTTTTTTTTTTTCTCTCTCACCAACTTAGGTGGAAGCTTAGGTTAATCGCTTGACAACCGTGAATCCCAACTTTATTACTTGTCAGATTAAGATAATTAAATGCATCAGTGCTTTAAGTACTGCTTCCAATCCTACCCATTGAGAAACACCGCTCTCATGCTCAGAGCCTGTTGCCTTGGACATAACAGCTGTGTTCTACTGTGTCTGTTCCATTTAGAGAATTAGAAGATCAATGCAGCTGTCAATAGAGAAGCTACCTTGTGAATCTTTATACCTCCCTGCTGGACCCAACAGCGGTCTATGTCACCTACGCCCAAGCTGCATGCCCTGGATGGCTTACAAGTGGTTTTCCAGTCTTCTTTGAACTCAGGCCTCCCCCTGTCACTAACATGTCTCTCTCCAGTTTTCTCCTCCTCTGCAGAGCAGGGGCTTCCTGCTTGGCCTCTCTTTTGTCACATTCCTCAATGAGCCATTGTGTTTGAGAGCTGGAGTTGACCTAGCACCCATTCTCCACTTAAAGCTATTTGAGTGAGATCTGGCTGACTCCTGGGTTGTTCTAAGAAGTCAGAGGTTCAGGCTTTGAGAGACAAGAGCTGTTTTTCTTCTTTGCATTCTTTTAAGATTCGCCCCAGCCTTCCCTATGTTCCTTTTTCACATGAAAAAGAACTTCTATTTAAACCTTAAAATGCATTTTGAAGGACTGCTAAGGTGCCCCAGTAGGTTGAGGTGATTGCTCAATCCCCGGGAACCCATCGAAAGCAAAGACTTCTGCAAGCTGTCTTCCAACCTTCACCTGTACCTCATGGTATATATGAGCGAGCTCATGAGTGCACACACATAGACAGACAGACAGACAGACACACACACACACACACACACACACTGAAATTTAAAACATACATTAAAAAAAGAAAGATATAGTATATTGTGATACTTACTG